CTAAAATCTTGTCGATGAGTTGAACATGTACCTTACATCATCCTGTAAAACAGAGAATGGGTCCATGTGTGCTAAGAGTCATCCGTCCAAGCAGTTAATTATTTCTTCAAAGGCTGCTCTGTTGAGTATTGACTATGCTTGTTTCTGATTAATTAGGATTTTGTGGAGGATTTGTTTTGAATATCAGTCCCTACTTCGTGGTCCTCTGTGCTCGAGTGGTGTATCACATGGCGCTGTGGGGTTTCCAAAGGTTGAAGGACAGAATGCAACACAACTAGTTAACTCACTGATTTCTAGAAAACTTGTGCATTTGTTTTTTATAGTATTGTGAGCATCCAAGTGCTATGGTTGCATTATGCCTTAACTCATCAAGTCTTATCTAAGTTGGCAGTAAAGAGAGACAATCAGTCTCTACCATGTAATTTATCTATGTAACAGTCAGTGGTGGAAGTATTCCATAAAAATACTCTGTTACAAGCAAAATAACTGCGATTAAAATCCTGCTTAAGTAAAAGTACAAAAGTATGAGCATAGATATATACTTAGAGTAGACATTAAAAGTACTCATTATGCAGAATATCCTATTTCAAAATAATGTTTATTATATTATAAGATAGTATTGAGCGATGCTTGTGTTTATCACTTTATTGTTGCAGTTGTTAAATATGTGAATAATAAAGTTATCCAATAAATGTAGAGGACTAAAAGAGTACAATATTTCCCCCGAAATGTAGTTGCTAAGATAACAAAGTGGAAATAAATAAAAGTAACTGAAAATGGTACTGAAGTAAAGTATTTGTGTAAATGAATGTACTAGCTAAAAGTGTACCTGTGGTCTCAGTGCAGGTGTTCTTAATGCTCCACATCCTCATCATCCTTCGTTTTCCTTTCCCGACCCCTTCACCTTTTAATCCCCCCTTCTTGTTGTATGCCTCTCAGCGTATCTTATTCTAGCTCTTCCCTTGTTGACAGTGCCAGATATGTGTCTACGCATGGTGGGCCGTCTCCAGACAGGTTATAAATAACCCGCAGAGTTTTTGCTTCATGTCCTGAGAGCTCTACTTTCTTCTCACACTTGAGGAACCATGGGAAAAGAATCTTTCCCTTACGCACATGGCACTCATAATAACAGACACGGTTATACATAAAACCTCTGAGCACATGTGCCCCTTTGCAAGCTTTGCACAATCTCATAGACACAGTAATGCATGCACACACAACCTTGGTGGCTTATGCAATAAGGTTGCAGCACTAAAATAGCAAGGTTATAGGAGCAGGGGTGCTGTTTACAATGAAATGTTAACTTACATTACATAACCTGCACTGTGGGAATGCAGAGTACATTTCTACTGTCATGTAAGTATGGGAAACTTGCTGAAACAACAGAACGGGATGAAAGTCTGGGAGGGCAAAAAATAGAAAGAACAAGAAAACAAGTACATGAGGGTAAAGGATGTAAAATGAGGAGAGGGAGTGGAAAAAAGTGAACAGGATAAGCATTATTTTTCTCCACATGACAGATTGAAGAGGAAGGGGTTATGTTATGGCTTATGGGTACATGGTGTGAGTTTATGTAGAGGAGTGACAGTGAAGCAGCGTTAATGTGGACTATAGTTGGGAGTCGGGGAGAATTCAGGGGTTGGCAGGTCAGACTCCGCTGACACACTGGGATCAGCGATGGGATTGTTTCCATTGGAAAGAATTCCAAGAATGAGCTAGAAGAGCTATCAGTGTCTACACTCAGAGGGCTCTGACAACAGTTTTAATACATAGCCAGGCACACACGCTCTCACACATACACATTTAAAGATACTGTGTCTCACGCCAACAATGGTGTGTGAGACACACTCCGTTCCCCTATGTAACCGAATACTCTGTGACTCTCACTCATCTTACCAATTACGAAATGAGTGCTGTCACCTTTGACCACCAACAGAGAGGTTGATAAACACAGGGAAAGTGTGAAGAAATTTTCAAAACATAAAATAGACTGGATAAGTAACAATACAAGTAACAACAACAACATGAATAGTTATTAATCAAGTCTAACCGGATGTCTATTGTGTATCTTTTGTTGAGTTTTATGTGTTTTAAAGACCCATCTAAAGAGAGGCATTGCAAATAAGCTCAGGCTATAACCGTTTTGCTGTGTTGTATTGGTTTATGTTACATCTGTCCCTATTCAAATACACATTAAATAAATAAATGGATGAGCATTTTAAGAAACATTCTCAGTGGCTTTATTGTTGAGTCAGATAAGAAGATAGATTCCACTCTCATGCTGGTAGAGTAAATATGAAACTGAAGCCAGTAGCTGCTAAGCTCAGCTTGGTTTAGCAGTTTTTGTACATTGGCAACATAAGCAAACACTCACACAATTGCCATTCTGATTCAAATGTTGCTAAATCCTGATTGGCACATGACATTATTCTACATGACCTTTTGCCAAATTAGCCTTGCTCACTTCAAACTGATAAGAAAAGCACAGAACAAAATGAAAGTTCTAACCTTGTCAAAACATGTTGTGTTGATTGATTGAAAATGTGTTTTTGGGAATTGTAACTGATGATGTTACATATCCTTTAGTGTTTTAATCAAGTTTGGAGATGCAAAGCTAATTTCAATTACCGGTTGCTTTTAAACAGTCTTTAATTACAAAGGTTCCTTATTGTGTAAACACCTGACAAGTGGCTGAAGGAGAAGAGCTGCTCATTATATCAAAATCCTGCAGGAAGATGCTTCAGGGCATCCTTTCATACGCCCTTAGGCCTTTATTAAAATTAAAACTGAAGTATATTGCTTTCTCACTATTTCTTCCAGTGTTATTTGAAAGACGACACAAAGTTCAGAGGTGTCTTGCTGACATCACACAAGTGCGTAGCTGGATCCAAGTTCATGCGGTCCCTCCGAACACTGCGGTTGTCTTACTTTTTATTTCTTCTTTCCATGATCTCATTACATTTTCCAGGGAGATCAAGGAGCAGTTTTTTAAAGGGACAAAGGACATTCCTGTTCTGACCTATTCAGAAGGCTCCCATCAGCCCCTTGGGCCAAACACAAACACACACACACACACACACACACACACACACACACACACACACACACTGCTGCTGACCAACACTATCAGCTGGGTCGGGGTATTAATAACTCTTTATGCTCCATTTTTCCAGGAAGACGGAAGCAGGATAAAATGTCAGTTCATTGTTCCCCTTCCAGGAAGTGAGAGTACCACCATAGCACAATCTGTCAGGCTTTTGGCCTAGCGCAGAAACTCTGATGGACAATTCCCGGTACAAGGTAATCAAACTTGACCTATTGGCTCAATGATAATACCATGCATAGCAAATCACCTGAGAAGTTCCCATTGTGTCAGTGATCAAAAAGTTGTTTATTCCTGTAAATCTCCCAGTTCCCCATTAGAGCTTTTCTACTGAACCACATTTTATTAGTCTTGTATCATTGTGGCGAGTGTTTATGGGTCGAGCGTGAGGAGTTTCTTCCAGACTTTAATAGGCTGTAATCCTGGATATTCCTTCAATGGTATAAAGTCCCTAAACATGTGTAGGTCAAACTAAAGTTTTCCATAATACATCACATTTAAAAAAAATCATTTTTACAAAAGGGACATTTCAAGAACTTCGAAATTAAAGCCGTTTAGTGCTCAGGAATTAGCTTTTGTTTTAACTAGGAGTCAGATTGCATGTGAACAAGTTGAAGACAGGAAATAGCATGGTTCCTGTTCTCGCTTCTACATATAGGCATTTGATACATGTATCTGTGCTAGTTGAGAGAAAGAGAGATTATGTATGCGAAAGATGCCGAGCAGGAAGTAACACTGCTCTTCTGTAACCACTGCAGGTGAAATGAGTGGGGAAAATAGAAGCGGGTTTCACATAAAGGAAAATGAAAGTAGTCTTGGAAACAACACTATAAATCGCTAAAGGATTACCCAGTAAACTACTTATTTACCACGTCTTGTACCATAAAAGACGCAGTAACTCTTCAGTCAATTATTTTCACAGCAGTCACACAGTTGGATAGCAAATTCAAATGTTTATTTACAGCCTCTGTAATCATCACAGAGAAAAGTGGTCTAAATACAAAAAAACAAGAGAAAGATGGCGGCTAATCTCCCTGAGCTTTACAAAAACAATGTGGGAACTGTAGGTGACAGGAGAAAGAGATGTTCTGTACACAGCCCTAATGCCACTCAATGAGAATTTACAAAACAGACATATCTCAATCATGCTTCTACAACAGTATTTCATATTGTGTACACAAGTGACATATTTTCTACAACTTAGAAGACTTCTTTGAAAAACAATGAGTGGTGATTTAAAGAGTGAACAAAAGAACACCAACTTCTGAAATTGAAAAAGAAAAACCACATTACTACCAGAGAACATATACAATTTCCCATCAACAGCTTATGGCAAACATCAGGATTAATTATTGTGAACTAATGAGTTTAATACTGTCAGCTATAACCTTACTTATTTGTGAACTATGTCCTATGAAGTCTCCATGACCTGAACTTCATGATGTCGACAAGGAAGACTAGCAGAGACTTTCCATTCAGGTGTGGACAGCTCAAAGTGATTCTCAGTCTGTGCCTTTCTAAAAAAGTAAGCCAAACCCATAATAAAAACAAGATCAGCGCACTACAAGGCCTCAGGTTCAGTACAAGTATTTACACATCCTTCATCTGGTCTGTACATTGCTTCATCAATTGTTTTCTCAAAAATAACGCGCTCTCCTGACTCAGCTTTACCCTTTTGAACAGTACACCTGCTAGCCTCAGATTTTGTTCTTACTGTAATATTTTGCTTTGTCATACGGCTCAAAGGGGCCAATGTGATGACGAGAGCATCATTGCGTGACTGTGCCCTTACTGCACAACAAGCTTTTGTACAATGAATGCGTCGCATAAGCATAGCAGGTCATGCTGGTTTTATTTTCTTCCACTTTCTGCCCACTTCTCTAAAAATAATTTCATATTGCCTTTTCACTGTGAATGCCTGACTTTCTCAGGGGGGGGGGGTTGGATAAAATTTTACACAAAACGCCCACTTCTCAAAAAACAGACTAATCACAAAACATACACTTCTCAGAAACAAATCTATGGAAAGCAGTGGCAATCACAATAACTAACATCCAGAAACTGACAACACAGGTATGGACATTGTTACTGGAGACGATAAATCTCCACAGGAACCACAATAAATCTGTATGCCAGTATGAAATCTCTGGGGTCATGACGCCAGCCATTTTGGAGTAAAGCACAGAGCAGTTGCAGCCCCCTGCAGTGTAAGAGCTGTCCATGGAGCACCGAGCTGCCGCTGTGCAACAGGACATCTGTTCTGGGCTGAGACACACATGGTGGTGGGCATGGTTTGGTTGTGCATGTCAGTCCTTTTCAAGTCCGGTTTTGCGGGTTTGAAGTCCAGGAGGACAAGTTATTGTGTGAGAGTGTGTCGCCTGGGTGTATTGCTTCTCTTTTGGGATTGATGGCTTTGGTGTCAAGGGCAACGAGATGGCATTGCAACACTGAATCCGTGTCTGCCAGCTTGTTGGGAGTGCTGAGGTGCAGTGTAACCAGGAAAAGACAGTCTATCAGAAAGAAAGAGGAAATGGGGCAGTATGGGTGCTGCAACACAGCCTCTACTGCTGAGAATTCTGTGTTGGCTGTCCATTTTGGATGTTGCCATTATTCTGCTCCTCCTCTTCCTCCTCCTCCTCCTCTTCCTCCTCCTCTTCTTCTTCTTCTTCTTCACTGACCAGAAACTCCTCTGGAGGCCAGCGAAGCTCCCCACTCTCGACTTCTCCCTCTGTCGGCTCAACCACGATGGATGGCAGACGATCCTTGAGTTTACAGCAGCGCTCAAAGTCTGAGGGGTCCGGGAAGATCTGGAGAGCAAAGAAAAGAGGGAAAATACTAATTATTAATCTATCAATAACCTCAGGCGTTAATACAGTCTGTATTCTGAATGGCAGAGGATGTCGTTTCAAGCCAGGAGAGTACACTGTCCCCTTTTGTAAGGCAAGAAATTATTTTTGAGCATATTTCTGATGTGCCAAGTATACCAGAACTTAGTCTTGAACCTTGTAGAAGTGTTGCAGGCACCACTACGAGGCTAAACAACTGTGAAGGAAGTGATGCGAAGACTAAACATCTTTGAAGGGAAGTGGTTGCTTAAGATCCCAGTGGCATACCTGCTCTTGCCCAGCCCACATTCTTCTAAAAGCTAGCTTTCCACATAGGTGCTCACCCAATAACAAAATTGCAAAAGAACTTGTTACACTGGTGACTGTGTACGGGTAAATGAGGCATGTCTAGTAAGACTTACAGGAAATGCTGCATCATGTTAAATCTAAATGCTTTGAAAGGCACTGTGCCAAGCAGCTCGTAGCTGCTTACCAACTTCAAATCCAGTACCACATCACCAAATGCTCAGAAGATTACAAGAACAAAACCAGGTCATTTCAAATCAACAGTAAAAACACGAAAAAGGTTGAAGGTTTACTGGGACGGGATTTGTGTACAACTAAAATAAAAGTCAGCCGTAAGTGCTGAATATTTCATATTAATGTAGAGATGGAAAAAAGGTTTAGGAAAGAACATCAAAATCGGCCGCATTCTCTGCAAATCCAGTGTGATACGTCTGCTTATAAAGATCTCTCAAATGTTTGGATCCAAACTGAAGGGCATGAGAGACATTTGGACAAGAGAGATTACACACATTCCCTGTACTGGCAAGATTGGATATCAAACTCAGACTTTCTGTTCTCAGGAACCGGAGAGCTGGCCCAGGGGAAAAGGCTTGCCACTCCTGGTCCAAGAACAGCATTTTTTGCTGTTGTTTGGATAAAGTGGATGAATATTTTTAGACCTGCATATTTCACTCTAAGACATTGGAGGAGGAGGGAGGGAGGAGGGGGGGGTTCAGCAATGTCGCTGTCTGGGCAGAGAGCCGAGTGGAAAGAAAGCATTAGAAGAGGCAGGAGAGAGACTGTGACGAGAGGGGAAGAGATAGAGGGGATCCAGCTGTGTCCAAGTCTTCATGAATTCCATAGGAGATGGATGAGTAGAGAGGAAAAAGACAAACATGCTATAAATATCCCTTGTGAATGTTAGGTTATAGAAGCATGTATATGTTTTTCAGCAGCTTTTACATTTTCCAAAAGCAGCTGCTTATAGAACCATGCTAAGAGGTGTGATTATAAGTGTGTGTGTGTGTGTGTGTGTGTGTGTGTGTGTGTGTGTGCATGTCTGTTTAAGTCTAATGCCTGTGTGCATCTCCATACTCTCACCTGCATCACCAATCCTCACTGTGCGTCAGCACCAAGGGGAATTAGTAGAATGACCTTGCCTTTGGACTCATAGCTAACACATGTCATAACTTGTTTCACTTTTAGTGGCAGGAAGCAGCGACATTGGCAAGGCACAATACAGGCTATTTCAGGATCTTCTGTGGGAGTAAGGTTGGGGTCAACTTTATATCTGAATCCTGACATTGCCTTTTGAGATGATGATTCAGTAAATCAGTAACCATTTCCTCATCCTTCTTCCCTAGCAGATCACATTCATTTCAAAACCTTTTTCTAGATGCAGCTGGAATTTAGTTGTCACACAAATTGTGTCAAAGCCCCCGGGACCCGTTATTGAGGAAGTGACTGGAGGCAACATCACTGCTTCTCTAAGGAGTGACTGGGACCTTGGGCAAATGGCCGAGGTGAGTAAATACAAAATAGGGATGGAAAGAGTGAAGAAGCAGCAGCCTCCTCCTTTTCTCTAATTTCTCCCCCTCATCCGCTCCTCATCCTCTCAGACGGACTCACAGCTGGGGTGTGAACTGGAGAGGAAGCCAGGCTCTTCCTCCGGGTCAGTCTATTTCCTTTCAAAGTTGACATCTACATACAGTACTGAAGGGCATTACAAGGCCACTGTATTAGGTTTATGAATGCAAACCTTTCAGATAAATAATTGACATCAATTTCTATGAGATTATTTATCTTAAAAATAGACAATTACCTTTCAGGTCTATTAAATGAGAAGCCTCTGCTTTTTTGAAGAATATTTTGTTACCCATGCGGTTAAAACACCATTGGCACCTCTGAACCCACGATGCTTCATTAACCTTCCTTTCAAAAATAATTAGTTATTTAATTATCAAACCATTATTTTTAAGAAGATGCTGATACAAAATAGGTCTCTTTTAAAATCCTACTAAACACTGGGGACAACCAAGACACAAAAATAAGCAAGCAGCTGTGTGTTTCAGTAGTTTAGTATCCAAAATGGCGCTGTTGAGCTGACAGTAAAACAAAGCCGCTGGCGACACCTTGTCAAGACCACCTGATGGCCGCTTTCTCTCATCTCTCTCAATCTGCAGGGTTCATTCCTGTGACAGGCTGCAGTAAATCACACTTCTTGTATGTTAATGTTGGGACAAACCTCCAATGTCTCCAACGTAATAGATGATGAAAAATAAGGGTTTATTGAAATGTTTCCTTAGCCTTCTATTCATTATTTAGTTCTTCTGGGTATGGGATCATGTAAGTGGCATTTCAGTTTGCACATGTCCTACCTGAAAGGAGAGTCTGTCCTTGCTGGGGCTGAGCCTCATGTCCTCCATGGGGGTGCTGTTGATCATCACCTCAGTCATATCTCGGCCGGGAACAAACACTGGGCTGCGGGGTGAAAAGAAAAAATGAGTTTGATTAGATGCTGTGCAATAGGCCTCAAGGTCCAAATGACAAGAGAAAGCATGCCATTCCAAGAAGGCATGTACGTGCAAACCTTTTAATACTAAAACATTTATTGTGTTGATTAAAAGTGATTTTTAATAATTTCCCTTATAGATTTTCTCCCTCTTTCGACTCATACTAAAGAGGGACAGGTTTCACTGAAGAAGAAGAAATTACTAAAAGTCCTTGAAAATCAATAATTGAATGGAACAAAGATTAAAGATAACCAAGTCATGGTTTTGTTTCTCTGCACATGTTGACAACAGCAAACCAAACATCCAGTTTGTGAGCTGCAAAGCCGCACAGAACACAATATGGCTTGTATAAGGGGTCCGTTTCCAAATGCAAGCTGATGTGCTCTTGCAGTGGCAACCAGAAAACAGTCATTGTGAGAGAGTGTGCTGGGGGCGTGTTGTGGTATTTGGTTGGGTTGGAACTTGATGCACTCAATTCCATCAAAGCGTGGCCAAACTTTCCATTTTGGAATAAAATCACAAAAGGGTTGTTTATTCATGTTCAGTGCATTCATTATCCAATGTCTTGAAGCAGGGCCTGGACTGACAGATGCGTCTTGAGACAAGATGCTGAGCGGCCTTCTCACGCTCTCTATTTAAAGCCTGCTACCTTGTGGTCAGTGGCCACAGGCCTGTGGTGTGTGTGTGGTCACTGGCTATATGGAACAAGACAAACAGAACACGACAAAAGACTAACATTATCTGGTTTAATGGAATTGGGTTTTTTTTAGGGAAGAGTTGTGTGGGCTTTGCTTGACCTAGTTTGAATCATAAATGTAAATATTTATTTTTGGACCACAGCACGGTGAAAATTATACCGTAGTGATGATTAAAAATATGGTTTTAAAATAAGGACCAATTATGTTAACATGTGTTCAGAGAAATGTATTGTACCGCGTATGACTCATACAAAACTCACGCTCAGCATAATCTTCTTGCAGAAATCTATAAATATCCATGTTTACTGGAACATGAATTGTCTTAAATTTAAAAGAGGTTTATCGTACACCAACTGTCACACTGCACACAGAACTGTGGTGGACAAATAATATCTTTATGAATTAGGGTTTCATTTGATTGAAAAGGAAGACTAAGGTAACCGAGGAAATTCGATAGTCCTCTTTGGTATGATATAAAGTTTATGGAAGCACATTATTTAATAATAGATAGCTCTTGTTTTGGACTCAACAGTTTGCTGACCAAATATTCTCCCTTTTTGCATTTTACATCAAACTCTTGGAAGTGTAATTTAGTAAAAGTTAGGGCTCCATTCATGGCTTTCTGATATAGCCTATAGAGTTTAGGATTTTAGATTGTGCATCTACAACTTCTTGAAGCACTGTCAATCACATTGATGATGTTGTGGAAAACCTGCAGTCATCAAAGAGAAGTCAATACCGAAGAACATTTAACACATTCATCCTGAGGAGCAGAGTGTCATGTGACATGAGTCACTCACGGCCACAGATCATTAACCCCTAAAGCAATGGCATTTATCAATCAGTTTTTCCATCCCTACATTTACACACCCCTCATCTCCCTCATGAGGAAACACTGACACAACATTTAAAGGCTGCACCACTCTAATCTACGTAAAGTAACCTTAACTGCACCAGTTAGAGGACATGGCTTACTTGACCAAAAGAATAGACGGATGTCCAAAAATGAAAAAGGAGGGGGCTTGAAGGAACGCAAGGTTAAACATGGAAATAATAATGTCAGCTGGGGCTGCTCTTAAACTTATTTCATCTTTGAGTGGGATGCAGAGAGGGCGGAGGTGGGGACGGAGGGAGGAACAGTGACAGTGAAGACCTGAGGAGAAGAGGAGCGGGAGGGAAGGGAAAGAAAGATAAACACTCAGGCCTTGCCAGTCATATTTCTGTTCGGGGATCGTATAAACATCCTGCTCGGCTAAGAATAACAGAACATCGGCCTAATAAAACATAAAGGGGCACAATGAGGAGGAAGTGGGGGTGCACATGTAACAAGTTAACCTAGGAGGAAACAAACATACATGGACCACAGTCACATCTATTACTGCTGTGTCACGCAGGGCTGATGAGTGCGTCCCTCACACAGAGATGAATACTTGATTGCTTAAGGAGACGTTAAGTGTTTTAAGTGTTTTATAAGTAACCTGTATATGTTTGATGTAAGATCAGCATGGACCACAGCTAGTTAAAAGTAAGCTCAATAGAATACATCAGCACTAGCATGTTTCTAATGGCCTTTATTGATCAATGACGACAGTGGCTGATGATGACGACGACAGTAACCCTCTGTAACTCCTGACCCACATACAATAACGCTCATCCTAATGCCACGGCAAAGATAGACAGCGTGTAAGAAGTTTAGTCATGTACATACTGAGTCTCCAAAGCCCGTATCGGAAGGATTACTGAAGTTCAAAGCTAAAACTGTTTGTCAATTAAAAATATATCAGCAATTTTTTTCGGTTTATTTATCATGCAAGTTGGCAAACGTTTAATTTTAAATGCCAAATGTAAATATTTGGCTATTTTCTCAGTCTTCCTAAAAAATAAATGTAATATCAAATTGATCGAACAAAACATTGCATATAATGTGGTTCTAGAGTTTTCTCGTGCAATATCTCAAAGTTACATTTCCATGAAAGACCAGTGACATCCTTTACAGGGTTTTCTTAAGTATCACTGCAGTGCCTACTGCCACAGAATACACTAAATGCCAAATAAAAAGTGATGATCTGATCTTTTTTACCCTGTGGATCACAACCCTTGGCATATAAAAGCGCTGACCCAGTGTTTAGCAGCCATTTCCATTTCTACTTTTAAAACAACTACCTCACCTCATTATATAGTGAACAGCACTCGCTTCATGTTACAGCCATTCATACACTAGCAGTTACATTTTAACAGAGCTAGTTGTTAAAGTCAGTACTGCCATCTGCCACACTGGCTTTACACCTTTATCAAGGACCGCTAAAAAAAAAAAAAAACATTCTGTAAGATGCTCAAAGACTCAGTCATTACCCAAGCATGGCCCCGGGTTCATCCACCCGTCTCAAGGCTATAAAAAGCCCAAGGCCATGATTGCTCCTGTCTGGAAAGTAGTGGCGAGGACAAGAGCCAAGTGGTCTCCGCAACAATCTCACTCCACAAGAGGGAGAATATGCATGATGCGTTATCAACATTGTTTCCCCTCTGCCACCCCACAGTTCCTACTACAGCTATCATAAATCTCAGCCTGTGTGGAGACAAGACAAAGTTACTGACGTGCCATGCCGGAGTCACACAGCTGCGCAGGTATGTGGGTGGTGCCGCAGTAAGACCCCCAGGACTGTGATGGAATGAATGGGTTGTATCCAGATACCTATGGGTTGAGTCTACCGCTGAAATTAAATCATGGATCAGCTACTGCTCCAGTGCCTTGTGGTAATCTAAGTGATGGGTGTGAGAATGAACATCTTATTGACCTTATATGTCTAGCAGCTTGCACTTAGTTTTCATATGATGCCATGCATACAAGTGAGATGAGCTCCAGCTATTGTTGTGAGAAAAATGTCTTCCTGTTCAGACAAATGAAAAACCACAGTGTAGGTTAACTCGCAGCATCCAAATCTAATAACGCGCAAAGATTTTTAGATATAGCTCTGAAAAATAAAAGTAAAAGCCTTTTTTTATTAAATGTTTTTCATAAAAGTAACATCACAGACAAGATAACATTGATCTAGTGTTAGTAGGCACACACAAGAGAGCAAAGTGTGGTTACAGTAAAGAGGTCGAGCCTGAACTTCCTGGTAGAGACAGCCAGAAGCCTGCTGAGGTTTGAACAGTGCTCGAAAACAATGTTTCAAAGCATCTTGCATATCCTCTCTACAGACAGGAAAACAATCGGCAGTATGATAACAGAAAGGCTTATAATCCAATCTCTGTTTCAAGAAGTACATCAACAAGTGAGAGTGCTGAATGGCACAAGGGAATGTAAAAAGTGTCACTGATAATAGATAGGAGCAGAGTGCATCTCTTCTTAAATTGCACCTGCAGTATTAAAGACCAAAGAATGAATGCAGGATCTTACTTTATCTGAGGATACAGCAAAGTAAGCTATGTGTTTCAACTTTCAACTTTGAAAAATAAAAAGGAATACAAGTAGGCCTATTTAAAATGCATTTTATCCCTAACAATTGCTTACAGAAAACACTGTGTGACCACTGTGACCTTTGAGAATGGTCATCAAATGCAGGCAACTTATGAAGCTGGAATCTGACAATCATTTCCTTAAAAGAAATTGAGACCTAGAATAACATTTAAATATCCAAGCCGTGTGACATGACATTTCCAACTCCAGGGGCAACACCCGATAGAAAATCTTAAAAGGAAACAAGAGTGGGTGTAACAAAGGTGTCTTATTCTGAGGGAAATCACCAAGCAAAACAAACCACAACTACTTCATTGTTCTTAGCGGGCAGGAGCAAAGCCAACAAAAGCAGTGTTTGATGCATGATTTAGTAATGTCTATCAGGCACAAGGCAAGCACACCTCAGCTGCTAACATGTGGATAGGTGAAACTGGAAAAGATGCGAGTACTCACCAATATATATGAGGGGAAAAAACAGACATGAATTCACACCTGCTGCCAATTCTGCTGATTGGGGAATCTAATGACAGCCGGGGACTACTTTTTCTCTTTCTTTCCTCTCTCCACGGCAGCACAGCACGTTCACGTAAACCGAAAGTAACTCTGCGGGGGAAAAGTCTGAGAACAAAACACAGCTCTATAAATTGGTGCGTCTGATCATCACCTCAGCTGTGTTGAGTATTTATGCGAGAGGCGTCTGCTTGTTCAGCCGGAGACACACCTCCTCTCGGCACGGGCCAAAAAACCTCAATGGCAGCGCATAACCAGCAGGAGCCAATCAGAGCACAGGTGACTCGAACCCCTCCGCCCCTCGAGCCCTGATGACGGCAGCAGCGACTGAACCTTCTTATTGGGAATGGGCAAGAAGATACTGCATGATGCTATTGATTTCTTGTCTCCAAGGCAACAAAATGACAGTCTAACCCTCCCTTGAATGACAAAAAAACACACTGATTCGCTTGTTAGGTAACGCGTGACATTTATCCAAATGAGGAGGGATAGAGCTCCACTGCCTGGGTTCATTCACAAATATATTCCAAGGGCAAGTCAATGTCTGCTGCAGCAATGGATGGTTCTCTTCCTGCAGAGTTTTGCCTTTTAATTTACATTATAAACAAAGCATGCAGAGTAGTCTACACACGCAGGCTGTTTCGTGAATTTAAAAAATGATGTCCTTAAAGTATAATAAGCCTCATTTTCCAACACCTCACCTTGTTTACATATGGCCAGGACCTTTAGCACAACGTTGAAATTCACACCTTATAAAAAGACCAGTTGATGTTTACCCTGCACGCATTGTACTGTATTTACATTTGGCTCAGAGAAGGCAGGTGCACATGAGGTTCTGCAGTTTTAGGGATACAGAGTAAAATGCAAGTGGGCCTCTACCGCCACCTTCTGACCACCCAATGGTAAGTGTTTGATTTCTTATTTCTATAAATAAACAAACAGTGTTTAAGTCATTAGGAAATGCAGTGCACAGTATGTTATTAATACTATACTGCACTATACTATTCTAAATATTTCGTTGGATCCATTATCCTTTTGGTGACATAAACACAACATCATAATTCAGCTCACAGCTTCAGCAAATCTGGCATTTTTCAAATGCCCTTTATTAAAGTCTCCTGGGTGACTGCAGATGGCACACATGCCCGGCAGGGAAGTAAACAGTGTGGAAACAAACAATTCTTGAATCTCATTTTCCAAAAAAGCTGAGCGCAGAGTCTATTTTAAATCTTTTACAAACTCCAACTATTTACAAGTCATTTAAAAATGTGTTAATGTTAAAATAATGTTTAAACCAACTTCATTTAACATTGACTTCTCTTTAGCAAAATGTTGGTTTTACAATTATGCCCAGTTTCCATACTCAAGGCTTCCCCTCTACTCAGCTAATTCCTGTCAATCATTTGAGCTCACTTCCAATAAAGGAAGTCTTTACTAATAGCAATAATGAAACTTAAACTATTTCCCATCAGCATTTGACTCAAGAAAAAGCAACCCTGAGCAAAATGTAAACTAAAGAGGTTGTAGTAAAACAAATATACAGTGAGAACAAGTTTGGATGTATTCACAAAAGCATAAATACAAGCTTTATTTTCCACAGAAGACATTTTGACACACATTACACTCTTAACATGGCTCTCTTCTATTAAAGTATCCCTCCTAGGGAGAAACACATGTGGGGTTTAGATACAAGAGGCCAAGAAGAGGTTGCCTGGTGGTGCCATATCTGAAATATGGTTGGATGTAACAAAGTCAGTTGATTTGTATAACTCCATAGTGTTCAGAAGTCAGAATTATGGATACCCTTTGGCTAAAATGAACAGTGTTTGGTAATGATGTAAATGCAGCATATCATGCATAGGTCTGGTGATATTCAGTTGGAGTGCTGATGTTTTTTATGGGTGTGACTCATTCACTGACATCATCACTTTCTGATTAGCATCTGCTGTTTTGGTCAAATCTGTCCACTCAGCGTGAACTTCTGCTGTAACGGTATGGAGAGTCATAAACAACCTAAGATATTTATAAACCTATTATTTTTACACATCTAATTTTTTTTTTACAATTTTACAATGTCTTATATAGATCTCTTGTCTGCAGCTGTGTCAGAGTTTAGCACCCCCTAACAAGAAATGGAATAACAAAAGACATGTATTTTGAAATGTTATTCACGCAACATGACCACTGGATGTCACTAGTGTCCATGGAATGGTTAGGGGTTACTGCATGAGCTGCTGTTATGAAGGGGTTGTATTTATTGATCAATTATTGTGCATGGCAGTGATTTATTCAACCTTAAATCTTTCAGTATTCTTAATACCATTAATAATTGTGATGCATGAATTGGTAAACAAACTAGAATTGAGTTTTAAAAAATATGATCTAATACATTTTAGGATGAAGTCTTAATTACAAATAGTTTAAAGATTTGTGTTGCATTGAAGAAAAATGTAAAAGACAATTCTTATTGATGACTTATTATAGAATTCTTATGTTTATTTAATTTAGTTATAGTATGTGTATCTTTTAGTGGAGATTAATAGGATAATTTGAAAAAAAGAAATCTGTTTTATTAAGTAATTACATTTTTTACGATACGATACGATAATACGATACAATATTACTTTATTGGTCAGATCAAGTCTGAAATTTGACTTGCGTCACAGCAGCTCCATGTCCAACATCAACAGACAAGTATCCAGACACAATACATGAAACACAAACAACAAACATTTAACACAACAGCACAATCAGTGAGAGAAAACATGCTCAAAGAGCCTTCAGCGTGCATTTGATCTGGGATTTAGCTCTGTATTTACTGTGAGGATTGACTGATGCACAAAGGAGTGCTTTCAGTCTGACTTTATTGAATGGTGGGACCCTGTATCTCCGATTAGATGGTAGCAGTTCATATTCACTGTTCAGAACATGGTTTGGGTTAGAAATGATGTTATTGGACAGCCTCACTAGGTTATTATGATGAGTCATAGAGTCTCTGACAGGGTTAATAAATATGAAGAAGCAACCAAAGTCATAATAACTTAATAGAAGGGTTAAAGGGGTCCTATTATGGTCATTTCTAGGTTCCTATTTGTATTTTGTGTTTACAATGTTCAAAAAGCTCTTTATTTTTCTCATACTGCCTGTGCTGCAGCACCTCTTTTCACCCTCTGTCTGAAACCACAGCCCTGTCNTTCAGTCTGACTTTATTGAATCGTGGGACCCTGTATCTCCGATTAGATGGTAGCAATTCATATTCACTGTTCAGAACATGGTTTGGGTCAGAGATTAAGTTGTTGGACAGCCTCACTAGGTTGTTATTAGAGTCATAGAGTCTCTGACAGGGTTGACCAACAATCTTTGAGCAGATTTTTAACAGGTGGAGCAGTTTTTACATTTCTTCTTTCTGTGATACTGCCAACAACAACAAAAGTGTGCGAGTATGTCATATGTATACATATTTGCTTGGTCTGTAAATATTCTCTTTTAGTCCTGATGCTCATCTAAAGACATTTTATAAACCTGAGGTGAAAAACAAAAGAAAAAGACAAAACAAGTCCCTGAAAAACACCACTATAGTCACACTATATATTCATTTAAGCAGTGTTATTCTTCCCTGGATGCTTTCAATGGTTGAGCAGTGAAGGTTTAAGAAAAGAAACTCTTCACCTGGTGTTGAGTGAGTGAAATCGGATTACCTGAGCCGGCCAGTTGCTCCTCTAGAGCTGTCTGTCTGCAGAATGGCGACCCCCTCTGTTCGTTTGGAGGATGTGGAGGACAGGCCAGCTGCTTTTATCGCTGCTCCAAATAAACAGCTGCACATCTGGGCAGGCAGAGATGCCGCGGGGGAGCAGAGGGGAGGCTGAAGACCGACTGCACGACGTGTAAATGAACGAGGCCCTGAAGGGGACGGCAGTCGACAAGCACCCGTTGTCCTCTTGGCTGCTTTTCGAAGTAGGCTTAAGTTACATTTGGGTCTCTGAAAGTGCCAAGTCCTTAGTTTCTTTCATAGATGTTTTCTTGTTCTTGTTCTTCATCACTGTTCACTGCATATGCTAATTGTTTCAAGAGAGAGAATAAGAAGTATTCATTGGAGCTGAGTATGTGAAATAGACCTTTCCATGAGAAAAGGATACTGCTTGGAAAATTCCAATAAAAAGTATTCTCTTTATCACTGGCAGGAAATGTGTTATTGTACGGATCTCTCCTCCCACATTTGTTTGAGTGTTCCCATGTTCTCAGGGTTTTTTTGTTGTATGTGTTTATGTCCATTAGTGTAAGCATGTGCAGGCCTGCAGGTTTATCCTGTGTGGGGACATTGGTGTATTTCTCCCCCATGCATACATGTGTATGTTTGTGCATGTGCGTGTTGCTGGGGGACATTTGATCTCGGGGCTCGCCGCACGCCACGCTTGCTTGCAGGTGGTCTGTCCACACTTGGGGGCTGAGCAGATTTAATATTTCATAGGAGTACAGCGCACCCCTGGACGCCATCATTGAGTCCACATGGCTGGCCGGAAAGCTGCTCTGTGAACACTCGACTGAAAAATGCGGTCCTGCCAGCCCCCTCTCCACCATGCTGCTCGCTCACTTGCTGGGCCTCACAATTAAAAGCTAACCACAGCTACAGATGTTGGCAGCTGTCTTTAACCCATGAGATGCCACTCTGGAGTTTCAATCTGCTACCTTTAGTGCTAATCACAGCTGATAAAGGTTGACGTTTTTGTGCAAGTACTTGTGTACTAGTAAAAGAAGAAGTTAACAAAGCTGAAGGAAATTTGAGACAGCTGCCTAAAGCATTGCACTCGGAGAGTATCCAGGCCATGTAAGCTAACTAAATTCTCAGCTCCTCCAGTTTAATGCCCCCCCCCACATCTTTATACACCATATAAACAGGAAACTAAAAGTGTTTATGACCACCTTGCAAAATCTAATGTTAGGAATTCAAGTTCAGGTCACAATTTTATCCTCCATTCATCAGATTCCAACGAAGCCAAACCTCTTTCTGTGTTTGCCGTCAGGTATGGTGTAGAGTTGGACTCAGGCCAAAAAGAACACAGTGAATTTCACCAGCACCATTATTCAACAAGGTCAACCCGACTTAGATTTGAAACCAAAGCCAAAACAGGGCATCTTGAAGCTGTTAGGAAACTATTCCAGATCTTAAACAGACCAGGGGGACTGTGTA